CTTGGATTAGAAAAGAAAAATAGCATTAGCAGAAGCACTGTGCTAGTTTTCAGATCTTAGTTCAATAATTTTGAACCTATTGCGGCATATAATATTTACGGCAATTGGATTCTATGCTGTAATTAATTCTACCATATCGATATAGTATAGCAGAATTCAGTAATTCTACCACTAACTCTAAATTAGACTGGACCAGACCAGACTGTTAATATCCTCTACTCTATAAGGTGCATTTAGAGAGATCTGACTGTATTTTATTTAGAATCATCGTAATAAAGTTATTTATTAAAATATTATAAAATATTTAAAAATTTTACACAACCTTTTGTTATACCATAAATAAATTAGAAAATTTAAATAGTGTACTTATTTTTTCTTACTGTTAGACATAAAATAAATAAACAAAATATAAAAACAGTACTTCAACACTTATATTAATATCATGCTCTTAAAATGCATAATAAATTTAAGCCCTCAATTTATTTAATTAGCGATAGGTAATGATAAAGAATTTGTAAAAGTATTAAAATGAGTTGGAATGGAACTTTCAGTTTGATAATATTGGTCAATATTTTCATAAGTGTTAATAACCGGATAGTAAGTATTATCATAAACGAATTGAGGATCATAGGCATTCATTACTATGGTTGATGTCAAATCAATTTCTGAAAAGTCTAATGGGAATGTAGATTAGTAAAATTTATAAAATTAATATGTGAATATGAAGATTTAAAATATTTAAGAAATCTTTTTTACAATACCACTTTCTTCATTCTGACCATGAAGATTTGAAAGTTCAGAAACGTCATCTGGTGCTATGTAAGTTGGATTAATAGTTTTGTAGGAACTTATCATTGCATCTAGTAAATCTAACATAGCATTTAGTATCAAACGAAAATTTGATAAATACATTAATAGAATAGAATATTACCAGCGGTGATCTCTAATTTATGATTACAATTATAATGATGAAGGTAGGATTTTTGACCAGTCTCATCCATGGTTATATTATACTTTGAAAGAATACTTTCAGGAGGAGGATCTAGTTGGTAAAAATGATTAATTAAACTTTATGCTAAATAGATCGAGACAAACGTCAAAAGTTTAATATAAATTACCTCCTGAAATCACTTTGCAATGGTTGCATTGTGGTAATTGATCTTTTTTATCCTTGTTCTTTTTATAACAGGCTGTGCATTGAAATATGCAAACGCTCTTTTTTTGGCACCTATCACATTTATAAAGTCCAGGAGTTCCACCTTTGCATAATTTTTTTTCCTTTCACACAACTCATGCATCGGGTTGATAATGTAGGTCTAACTTCGGATAGTTGAATATCGTATGTCATGTTCCCAAAATCGTTTAATCCAGATACCTAATTATTAATTGACTTAGTATAGCGAGTAAATATAAGATTACTAAAATGAATTGTTGAGAGAGTATTAACCCTTGAATCAAAGTTAATTGTATTCGGCAGTTGTGATGTGGGCATGACGTGAATAGTCTTTGGTTTCGGTCCGCGTTTTTTACGGCATGGATCCATTATACATTTTAATTGACGTTTTCCACACTCATCACATCCAAGTTTAGAATCGAAGTTAGTGCATTTTATTTTTGCTTTTCTACAATGAATGCAAGCAGAAAGAGAACGAGTTCCTTTAAGTTTCATGATTAATTATTACGCTATATCTCAAATATATATATATGAACGTGATGCACGGATGAAATTCAATAAATAACTTAAAGCTATAAATGTTATTATATCGTTATGAATTGATTATTAATTTTACCAAATGGTAGAAAACTAAAAAAAAACCGGTGACTAATATCAAAATATTACAAGTCCCAAATAGGATAATCCAAAGTAGTCACATTACATAATATTACGTATTGTAACAATACTTAAAAATAAATTATTTCATACTGAGATCAGCTTGTGATCGATCATGCTACCAAACTAAACCCCATGATTTGTACAAATGAAAGGTTTAAAGTAAACTTAGATATTGTTAGCGGCAAAACCGCCGAAATTAGCTGCGCCGAATTCGACGTCACGAGACCTAAAAAACGTGACGAAAGACCCGAACTGAAGCCCCAGGGAATGGTGGCTGAATCGCTGCTGAATCGTGGCTAAATCGCGGCAAAAGTGTTGCTGAGAAGCCACAAGCCACGAAGAAAAGAAGAAAGCAGGTTTGCGCTGATTTAGGTTGGGGCAGTGCCAAAAGCTTAACCAGATGAGGCAAAGCTTTGATGGCACGGCATGGCGTGGAGTGGCATGTTGGGCTTGGCTTAGTTTAGAAAGTTCTTTTTTTTTCTTTTGCCCCCCCCCCCCGCATGTAAAAAAATTAACTATAAATTGGGCTTGTTTTCGCCCACAAATAGAAAAAAAGGGAGTGTGTTCGTATTTAATAAAGAATCGTTTAGTTTTAGTCGCCACAATATACCTGATTTAGCCTTACTTTGCCAAATAGAAACCGCCTCTACCCATTGGGTACATTGTTGGGTTGGTTGTGTTGTTTTGGTGGTGATTGGTTTGCTGTGTTGCCGCCCAGTTGCCTCCGACAATATACTTGGCCGAAATAAAAAATTCTATTCAGCTTTTCAATGCGAATCGAAAATCAACAAGCAAACAAAGCACAAATAAATTTGTATGACGATCATGTGTAGAGAATAACCATAATATTAATAGATATTTCGCAATGTTTCAAAGAGGACAAGTTAACTTTGATGTAATGGAGACTATTTAAGTAATTTCCTATGTGTATTCTCCAAAACTCAGTCTTTTTTTTTTTAAAAAAAAAGGTGTCTAAGAAACTCCTCATATATTTGCTTGCAAAGCAACAAATTAGGTCAGGTCGCTATAAAGATAGAAAGAGACGTCTTCATCATGAAATGACATGGTAATTTTGATGCTGAAAGTGTAAGAAATGAAAAGAATTTAAAGTCTAATGTAAAGACTATTATAAGAACAGTAGTCAATCGATCACTTGTGATGGACGTAAAGCGACCATAGGAGGCAAGCATACTTGGTTTCTATACAATATT